TCAGTTTTACATTGGTAGCTCTGTACATTAGCTGTTTGGTACTTTCTGTGTTTTGGCTGTTCCTTACTCACTCTTATCATGGGGACCTTCTCTTCATCTGCCTGGAATTCTCTTCCCAATCTCTACTCTCCCTTTGACTGGTTGCCTCTCAACATTCTTAGAGATGTCAGTTCAATTACATTTCCCTTTCTAGTCTTCCATGACCTCTTAGATTAGGTCAGTTCCCCCTATTTTACACTTTCACAGGACTATACAGCAAGAGTGCAATTTCTATTGAGTTGGTGGGTTGACTGTAACAAAGAATCATCATACTCTACCAGGTTTTGAGCCACTAAACTAGTCTCCTCAATGTCCTTTTAATTCTAAAATGCTATAATTTCACAAATTTAGTTACTTACTTGAATTCTTTGAGAGCCTTGCAAAGAAAAATACCAAATTCCAAAGAGATTACTCTAATCCCTTAATTTATCTACTCTACTCCAAGTTTCATTCGCAGTATTTATTTGCTTCTTGTCATGATTATTACACTTCAGAGCAATCATGTCATCTGTCACCTGTGAAGTGTTTATACAACCAACCCTGTGTCATAGCTGAGGTAGATAGAGTTAAAAGCATTCTCCTGAGGTAGCCAGGTAGCTTTGGGTTAGGGTGTGTTCTTATATATACTCTACAATTTGCTGTGCTGAAGGACTGAGTTAATTCATTGCTAATCTCTTCCATTTCTCTGATTTGTCAAATGGGAAATATAGTATCTATATTATTAGCAATCTATTACCTATGGTATTACTATTATATTATATATGTAATATACAATAATATTGCCCATTATGAAAATAAACACAAAGTGTTTGACACATAGCAGGCAATCTTTCAATAAACAATAATCATGAAAGAATCCAGCAGTGGAGAAAAAAGGTGTGTTTTTGTTGTTGTTTTTGTTATTGTTATTGTCCTATTTGTTTTGCTTTTCCTTTGCTTTTTTTTTTCTATTTGCTGAAGCCTTAAGTGTCAAGTGGGAGAATCAATACAAGCCACTTCCTTAGGTGTTGAGGCATAATTGAGTCAAAACACTTCTGTCCCCATCTACAATTCTATTAACAGATGCCAAGCACTTTAATCAATATGTCTCAGCCTTGCCTGCCTGCCCGGGCATGCACCTCTTTAAAGCAGAAACACCTACATTTGTAAGAGTCAGAGGGTATCACAGCGAGGGGAATGAAGAATAAGTAGTGACAGAACTAAACTATTACTACTCTGGGGCTAGAATCCGGCCAAGTTAATACTACATTAATTCTCTTTTAGAGCCATTAAAGGAAGTCCATTCCTATTTCCTTTCTCCCAAATAGATGTATCACCATCCCAAGACGTGTCGCACAATCCTACTTCAATAATTTCCGTTCCAAAATCAAAAATTTATAATTACTTACATTCTCCTTCTGGGCCACTTAACTTTTGAACGTCCACTTTAAAAAATCCAATTTTGAGAAAATCATTACATTTAACTATCTGATCGTTATTTATTAACAAATATTCTTTTTGTTTATAAAACTTACATTGGCCCAGTTTTAAACGATTTTTATAATCAGTTCTCAATCCGCAAAGCCCAACTAATAAATTGAGAAGGTCAGGTTTCCTCTCCCAAACAAAATAGAACAAAAGAAATATCCCTTTTCTTCACTTTCTCTGAAAAGGCATCAACAGTTGAGATAAGAATGTTAACCTGAGGCCAGTTTGTGGAGGAAAGGAGGGAGAGAAAAGGAAGGGAGGGAGAGACAGAAAGAGAAAGATGTACAGACAGAAAACAAAAGAAAATGTACTTTTATTTCATGGGTGCGAATGATAAACTCCATGTGTTAGTAGCACATAGTACCTTTTAAATTTTTTATATGCTCACATCTGTGTCATTAGATCACCAGACCCCCATTTTCAAACATACCTGAATTTCTTACATTTTATTAATACAGTCATTTGCTTTCTGCAAATTTCCATAAATCTACTTATCAGAAGAGATTGGCAGGTATTCTCCCCAGGTGTGTTATAAGAAGATCCTACCTACACAAAACAAATGCTCTAAACAAGTGGTATTAGCCCCTCCATTTGTGTTTCCTTGTACACAAATGCCCAAAGTAAAATAAATGCTATTGCTAGATTTGATGGCAGTTTGGGAACTTTAACAAAGCAGAGTTAAGTATTTCACCCTTCAAGACAAGATGGACCCTGATAATTACATACAATCAATATGTCAAAATGATTGGTAAGCATTAAAAACAAAAACTATTCTGGAAGAGTGAGATAGATAAAATAACTTTACAAAGTGTGTGAACTGATCCATGGTAATAAGTTACATAGAAGAAGGAAGTAGGTCCAAACCTCTGGCTGTACTGGACCTTTTTTTTTTTTTTTTTACAGTTTCACTGAGTGCCTCTTGTTAACAGCATGCTGTGCCAAACTGGTCTTCTGACATCATGCTTAAACACCAACAATTTATGTTTTTCCCAAACTTTTGTTTCAAGCATTTCTAATACATATGCATCCCTTCCATTTAGCTGTTCTTGAGTTACATTCTATTTTCCTGAGTTCTGGGAGCTGCTCTAGCAAATTACTGAAAAGTTGAAAGTATAGCAAAACATGTACTCATCTATATTCAACAATGGCTAACATTCTGTGTGTGTATCTTTCCGTACACATGCACACATATACTTTGATGAACCTTTAAAAAAAAGTTCAATCATCATGACACTTCAAGCCTACTAACTTCCAATTTCTAATGTTTATTTATTTTTGAGAGAAGGAGACAGAGTGCAAGCAGAGGAAGGGCAGAGACGGAGACACAGAATCTGAAGCAGCTCCAGGCTCTGAACTGTCACCACAGAGCCCTATGTGGACTCAAACTCATGGACAGTGAGACTATGACCTGAGCCAAAGTCAAGAAGCTTAACCGACTGTGCCACCCAGGCGCCCCCCAACTTCCAATTTCTAATAACAAGGTGTAATATTACGACATATAAGAAATACTATTGAGTCTTTGTCCCTACTATTCCAGGCCCACAGCTCCTAAAACCTTTGTAGTTCCCTAAATGATAGGAACAATGTGAGAATCTTTTGTTATTTGGTCTTTTGCATTCAAATAGTTCCAGTTTTTCATAATGATCTTTCAAAAACATTTGAATTTATGTTAATGAGGTTACTTCTAGGAAGCCCCTAAGGGTGTGGACTGGTTGCCAGGGAAGCCACCCACGTGATTAGAGGGTTGGGATTTTCAGTGGCCCCCTCCAGTCTCCAGCATGAGGACAGGGATTGGAGCTAGGATTAACCACCAGCTGCCAGGGATTTAATCAACCATGCCTATATAATGGAGACTCCAAAAAGCCCTAAACAAAAGTCTGTGGTGTTGGTAAACATAAAGAAATGTTGAAAAGGTTGAATGCCCAGAGAGGGCACAGAAACTCCATGCCCCTTCCCATATACCTTGCCACATGCATCCCTTCCAGATGGCTGTTCCTAAGTTACAGGGTATTTTCCTGAGTTCTGTGAGCTGCTCTAGCAAATTAAACAAAACTTGGGGCGGGGGGAGGTTGTAGGAAACTGTAATTTATAGCCAGCCAATCGGAAGAACAGGTAACAACCTGAATCTGTAATTGGCATCTGAAGTGGAGGGCAGGGAAACAGTTTTGTAGGATTCAGTCCTTAACCTGTGGGAGTTGACTTTGTTCCCAGTAGATAGAGTAACAATCGAGTTAAATTGTGGGACACCCATCTCGTGTAGCAGAATTGCCTGGTGTGTGGGGAAAACCCCCATATTTGGTGACCAAAGTGAAGTACTGATGATAGGAGGAGACCCACAGGAGGATTTTTTCCTTCACATAAGAACATTTTATCACGTAATTACAACAATGTTGTCACAACTAAGATGATTTCCAAGCATCTCCTAGTATCATCTGACCTCTAGTTACTGTCTATATTTCTCCAATTGTCAACAAGTGTTTTCTACAGTTTATTTTTTATTTCTATTGTATTGATCCAGGAGCAAAAGAAAGTTTACACATTCTATTTTGACCCCTTTGCCTCTAACAGCTTCTATAATGTAGACTACCTTTCTGTCACCTCCCCACCTCCATTTCCAGGTCTGCTGACATAAAGAATGTACAACATTCTAGACTTTTCTGTTTCCTTACAGTTTCACTTAACCTTCTCATTCTGTCATCCGTATTTTCTACAATCCAGAAATTAGATCTAAGAACTTGAGTTTTTTTGTAAGTTTACTTATTTATTTTTGAGGGAGAGAGAGACACAGAGAGAGAGAGAGAGAGAGAGAGAGAGAGAGAGAGAAAGTGTGAACAAGCGGGGGAGGGGCAGAGAGAGAGAGAGAGAGAGAAGGAGACACAGAATCTGAAGCAAGCTTCAGGCTCTGAACTGTTAGCACAGAGCCCAACATGGGTCTCAAACCCACGAATCGTGAAATCATGACCTGAGCTGAAGTTGGACACTCAACTGACTGAGTCACCCAGGCACCTCAGGACTTGATGAGTTTTGAGTTAAATATTTTTGGCAAGAATATTCACTTTATAGGTGATGTTGGAAATGTCACATGAAATCAAGACAGGGTATAAATATTGTTAAAATGTGCTAATATTAGTGATGTTAATTTTTATCACTTTGTTGAGAGATATATTGACTGGTTACATAGTAGTACTGCTTAACAATATTACCACAAATATAGATTAAAACAATGCATATTGGGGTGCCTGGGTGGTTCAGTCAGTTAAATGTCTGACTTTGTCTCAGGTCATGACCTCGCAGGTTGTGAGTTCCAGCCCCACGTCGGGCTCTGTGCTGACAGCTCAGAGTCTGGAAACTGCTTCAGATTCTGTGTCTCCTCCTCTCTCTCTGCCCCTCCCATGCTCATGCTCTGTCTCTCTCTGTTTCTCAATAATAAATAAATGTTAAGAAAGAAAACAATTCATATTTATCATCTCATATTTTCTCTGGATCAGGAGTCTGGGCATGGCTTAGCTTGGTCTTCCTCAGAGTCTCACATGGGGCAATCAAGACAAAGTCCATGGACATGGTCACACCTGATGCTCACCTGGGACAGGATCTACTTCCAAGCTCATATGATTGTAGTAAACATTAAGCTTCTTTCAGGCTGCCAGACTGAAGGCCTTTAGTGTCTTGGATGCTTTTGGCTAGAGGTAGCCTTCAGTTACTCACCATGTGGCTTTCTCCATAGGCCAGCTCAAACCATGGCAATTTGCTACTTCAAAGCCATGAAAGAAAAGAAGTTCTCAGTAGAACAGGTATTATAGTATTATGTAATGTTATCACATACACCTAATCACGCACATTCTTTCACCTTTGCCATATTCTGCTTATTAGGAAGCAAGTCACAAATCCTGCCCACACTCAAGGAGAGAGAATTACATAAGGTCATGAACACCCAGAAGCAAGGATCATGGGGGTCACCTTAGAATCTTCCCCGACAAGGTAACGGCCACATCTTTCCATTGTAAAGGTATACTTTCCAATTAGTAATGAATAAACACTCTGTGGGGTGATACCTTGACACCATTTGAATAATTTAACATATTAATTTTAAAATAGTCATTATTATTAAATTAATGTTAATTTTAAATTGGGAATATTTGAATTCTATAGACATTGTTTAATATATATTATTTACATATTTATACTAATTTTATGTCTCTAAAATATATTTAGACTATGTATTATTTAAATATACAGACTTAAAATATATCTCATATATATATTTGATATTTATATACATTCAAATATATTCAAATAAACTCATAGATATCTCTAATTCAAAGTTAACATTACAGAGCTTTTCAAAATATCTTTTATTATTTTATTTTTGGATATTCTTTCCCACTGTTACTAATGATATCAAAACAGTTAACTATTTGCTCTATTTTCCGATATAAACATAACAGTTTCTTTTTTTAAGAGAGAGACAGAGACAGCACAAGATGGGGAGGGGGAGAGAGAGAGAGAAGAGAGAGAGAGAGAGAGAGAGAGAGAGAAAATCCCAAGCAGGGTCCACACTGTCAGCACAGAGCGCAATGCAGGGTGCAGTCCCATGAACCTTGAGATCATGACCTGAGTTGAAACCAAGAGTTAGATGCTTAACCAACTGAGCCACTCAGGTGCCCCACACATAACAGATTCAATATCAAAATTATGATTAATAATTCTACTAAGTAAAATCTAAATTGTTTTCTTTTCTTTTCCCCTGAGAATGCATTCTATTAGGCATACAGTACTGTGTTCCACAGTTCCTTGAAACAATTACTGTCCTTATGAGTTTATGTTGTCAATTTAAAATGCTTTATATCTTGGTATTTGAATTCAATTTTAAGATTCATCGTATTTTCTTTACAAATTTATCTTTGTTGTTTCATTGTGAAATGTTTACATGTATTTAAGGGTGATATTTTAAAATTCGGAAAATTTTAGTCTCGTTAACTCTTTCCTTTCCTTTTTATTCATACCAATCTGCTATATGTAGCCATTTTCATTTATTATTTATTGTCTATTATGTCAAAATTGGAAAATTATTTTCATATTTTAATTTCCTTTTCTTCCATATGAAATGATTGTATATTATATACATTGTTCTTCAGCTTTATTTTCTTTCTCTATTTAAAATATGAAGTATCTCAGGGGCGCCTGGGTGCCTAAATCACTTGAGCATCCAACTTCGGCTCAGGTCATGATCTCATGGTTTGTGGGTTTGAGGCCTGTGTTGAGCTCTGTGCTGACAACTTGGAGCATGGAGCCTGCTTTGGATTCTGTGTCTCCCTCTCTGTCTGCCCCACTCCTACTTGTAGTCTGTCTCTCTCAAAAATAAACATTAAACAAATATGAAGTATCTCCATATACTTTACAGACATCTTTATTCTTTTTGATAGTTACATGGTACTGCACTGTGAGGGTGCCATAGGTGGATATTCAGTGAGCAGATCAGCTTTGTAATGAAATGTTATTCTTATGATTACTACTGAAATGGATGACTTATGCCCATCTTGTTTCCTGCTTATATAGGTGTATACACACCTATACAGGAATTATTATTGGTACAAGTCCCCAGGAACTCTGAGACAAAGATTAGCATGCAGGAGGTTTATTGGAAAAGCACTTAGTCTGAAACCCTGGAAGGAAAAAAAAATAGGCATGACTGAATAGGAGAAATCAGACTACATTACAGTATTAACTAAGGCCTTGGCCAATCCTACCAGAAGCTCTGGAGCTAGGATAGTCCTTTAGAGTTATCACAAAATAGGTTGAGAGGTCCAGGCTTCATACCACAGCAACAATCAGTAATTGGTTATGAGATTACCCTGCAAAGGGGTATGATTTTTGAGTTAGTCAACCTTCTTCAACTGAACTGAAAGTTTTCAGCCAGCAATTGCAGTTGGGTGACTCTATCAGTCCTAAAAGAGATATCAATGCAACATGACACAGAATTTATGACAGTTTTGCTTTTTTGTCTCTTAAATCCACTTGGACCATATCAATGCAAAGCTTTCGTGGGCCTCTTCTGCTGGGAAAAAAAACAGTGAACTGCAGTTCCCATTGTTATAACTGATCCTGAAGCCGCAAATGATGATAATTATCTTCATCCATTACTACCCATTATAGATTCCCTCACTCATAGCTGGTCTTGGTGGCTCACTATGTGGGGTGAATAAAGGCCCTCACTCTTGAGTAGTCTGTATTTCCACTTCCCAAGCTGGCCACTAAACTTATCCATGTAACATCAATATTGGGCTAGGGAGAACTTAGAGATATCCAAGTGGATGTGTAACATATTTCTGCCTGCTTCCATTGTGTGACAGTGTTCCTCTTCATGATCCAGGTCAAGTGTCCCTACCAGGATTGTGAAATTTACTCTTCCTTGTTGGTCTCTTGGCAAGAAGGGAACACAATACTTGAGTGGCAGTCTTAGCTCAAAGTTCAATAGATCTTTGCTGGGGAAGCATTTCCCTCTTTGGGAAGCATAACTTCTAGTCCTGAAGAGCACAGAGTCCACAGAGTGTCAATCACAAATTTCTGAAATGGATCACTGGAAATAATGGAAAGTACAGTCCTTCTGGCCCCCACCTATTGTTTCTTGGATCCATCCATTCTACCTACTTGAGACACAGCATAGTATAATGGATGTTGGTATAAGTTGTATGTGATGTTTTAGAGGACCACACTCCATCTTCACAGGGTATTATCTTCACCTTGGTTCCTCATTTGTCTCTTCAACAGCTCAGTCTGTTGCTCTATTAGGCCAGCAGTTTCTGGGTGGTGTGATATATGAAAGTACAAGTGAATTCATACACATTTTATACACTTTCACACCACCTTTGCTATAAAGTGGGTCCCTTAGTCCTCTGTGACATCACGATGAATATGTTGATACAGAAAACATTCTGTTAAGCCCTTAGAGCTGTGCTGACAGCTCAGAGCCTGAAGCCTGCTTTGAATTCTGTATCTCCCTCTCTCTCTGCCTCTCTCTCTCTCTCTCTCTCTCTCTCTCAAAAAATTAAAATTGTTTTTAATCCCTTTATAACTCATATATTAGCAAAGGACCTAAGATTTTCCTGGAACAAAGGAGATGGAGATGAAAATGTGAGAAATATACAGTAAAATGAGAGTTCACTCCCACTCTAAATATGAAGGGAGACATAAAAAACCTGAAGTTCCCATTTCATTTCCACACACTCCTATGATAAGCACAGGCAAATATTTAGTGAAAGCTTAACATGTGTCAGCCACTATTCTATGTACATAACTTTGACTAACTTTTTTTAAAGTTTATTTATTTTCAAAGAGAAAGGGAGAGAAGGTGAGAAAGAGAGGGAGAGAGAGAATTCCAAGCAGTCTCCATAGTGTCAGTACAGAACCCAGTGTGGGGCTTGAACCCACAAACCATGAGATCATGACCTGAGCCAAGACCAAGAGTTGGATGCTCAACCAACTGAGCCAGCCAGGTGTCCCTGACTAACTCTTTTAAATTTCTCAATGACCATATGAGGTAGGTGCTATGACTATACTATTTTTTTTTTTTTTGAGGACACTGGAGCACAGAGATATTAAGCGACATGCTCAATTCCTCTAGTTAGTAAGAGATGAATCCTTGATTCTAACCTGTATAGTCTAGCTTCAGAGCTGCTACACTTAAAGGCTGTACTATGTTGCTTCTGAAAATAGGAGAAGAGGGAAAAAGGATCTAGGATGGCTTTGTTAAGAACTGCACCAGCCACTGAATATTCTAATTGTTCACCAACCAGTCATATTAATCTCCAGGACTTCTTATTGATGAAGAAGAAGAAGAAGAAGAAGAAGAAGAAGAAGAAGAAGAAGAAGAAGAGGAAGAAGAAAGAAGAAGAAGAAGAAGAAGAAGAAGAAGAAGAAGAAGAAAGGATTTGTTTCTAGCAAAGTGAGAAGGGTATCAGTCTCAGACCTGAACCTTGATTCACCCAATTTTGGATGAGAGACCACAGAAACTCTTAGCCCTTTGGGCTTCAATTTCCACTGAAGTAAGATTAGTTGGTTTTTCAGGGCCCTTGGCTATTTCATAATCAAGAAATAATTAACATTGCAGATTATGTTGAACTACCGGGAGTTTGGTTGAATGGGTTCATTCTCCCACATAAATGGAAACTGCTTACATGAGAGTGTCTTTACCATCACAGTTTATCTGGAGAAAACATCAAGAAGAATTTCTTAACCCTTAGCTCTAGTAACACACATTGGCGTGAAAAGTACAAACTTATCCTAGAAGTTAAAACCTGTTGACAGAGGGGTAGACCGCTTGGGTCCCAGTGACAGGACATTCCTCACTTCAAAGTTAGCTACCGTGATGTGACAAGAAGGTGAACTCTGAGAGGCCCTGAAAAACTGGTGAATCCATTAGCATTGGTCATCCTGACTTCAAATCAATGAGTCATTTTGACACTCTCCTGACAGCTGCTGAGTTGTTTCCTTAAGACAACTCTTCAATGAGAGACAGATACTGCAAAGATGAGCTGCATGGTTTCACATAGAAATAGCAAACAGAATGAAACCTAGGTTACCCTTCTCCATCAATAAGCTGATGCAAATGAGCTCTCCTTGCAAAAGTAACCACCTTTCTTCCTTCTTTCACAACACAGTTACTTATTGGATAGGGTTATCTAAAGTTAAGTACCAAGGGACATCTGGGTGGCTCAGCTGGTTAAGCCTCCGACTCTTGGTTTCAGCTCAGGTCATGATCTCAAAGTTTGTGAGTTCCTGACCCATGGCAGGCTCTGCACTGATTGTGTGGAGCCTGCTTGGGATTCTCTCTCTCTCTCTCTCTCTCTCTCTCTCTCTCTCTCTCCCTCTCTCTCTTTTTCTCTCTCTCTCTGCCCCTCCTCTACTCCCACTGTCTCTGCCTCTCTCAAAATAAATAAAAATAAAAAAAAAATAAAGTTAAGTACCATCTTTCCAACCAG